CCCCCCCCCCTTTTTTTTAATGGCAAACCCATGTTCAATTTCTTGCTCTTTACAAAGTGAACGATTGGACAGGAGGATTGGCCTGCGCTCTACACAGTTTTGTATTCCGGACGTCTTTCACAATGCCGGCTGTACAACGGGCTCCATCGTCAATAATAAAAATGGAAATAGCCAACATGTACTGGCTACTCATAAGTGGATAGACACTATGCTAAGAGGTTTAAGTAGGTGAGATTTAATGTTAATGCCTCTAGAGAGAATTCTCTGGTACAAGCACCACAACAGATGAGAAAACAGAGGCCCAAATAGCATTGACAGCGATCTCTCCAGGGTCTGTGGAACTCCCAAGTCAATCTTTAACCTGTCTGTACTGTTCCTTGGGTTAAAAAAATATATATATCTTGTTTTATAAGACAAACCTGGTGTCCCAGAGAAGTTACCTGAGCACTGACACACATTATAAAACCTTTATTTTTTTATTTTTTGGTAGACAATTTTAAGCACTGTCCAACTGCTTTCTGAAGGTCTCTTCAAATACAGTGATTTATCAAAATTAGATGTTTGATACGTATAGCTGGAAAAATGGTTTTAAAATGACCATCTGCATACATTTGATGTAGGTAAATCTCTTTCAGAAATTTGGCCATGTGCAAGTTATAAGAATACAAGTTGCCATCCTTGGAACCGACCACAGATTGTGATGACCTTTTTTATACTCTCTATAAATAATAGACAACTGGTTTTGGCCCTGAAGTCAAGGGAATTGAACAAGTGGCCTCCGAAATTGAGAAGTGAGTCATTGGTCCGGTTATGAACTAGACTTATGATCTCTGGGAGGGAATATCTGAAGAGTTCGTTACTGGTGTCTGAGAAGGAAGTGAGGGAGTCATTGAAAGTAGCTCAGCACTTGGTGTTGAATAACCTCTCTCTCTCTCTCTCTCTCTCTCTTAACCTCCTGTCCATCCCAAGATCAAATCTTGTGCACATTTACTAGGTATTTGCTGGGATGCCATGTTCTGTCTTAGCTGTCCTATCACATAACTGTTCCAGACTACAGCATAAGCAGGTGGTTCCTCTTTGCTTAGTATCCCAACATTCTAAAGGATAACGAACCAAAAATATTGTCAGGGCTTCAAAATATAGTGCCAAAAGTTTAAAACATCAACATGCAACTTTTCGAATCTCCTTTCCGTCCCCTTCTGTAGGGGTAAAAAAACAAAAACAAACACACACAAAAGAACAAACAAACAACAACAACAACAACAAAAACCTTACAGCTTTAGTAATCAAAGGGAGAAGAAATACCCTGAGAGCCCACCTTGAAATATAAGGCAGAAAACACACTGACTCTGAGATATGGAAAAGGATGAGTCAACGTAAAACAAGGAACATGCATCTATTCTTTGTAGCCTTTTGGCAACAACAAAGATAATAAACCAAGAAATAGGCCAGTCAACTCAATGGAGTTCACTATCAAAAAACCTTAGCTTTTGGGGCGCCTGGGTGGCGCAGTCGGTTGAGCGTCCGACTTCAGCCAGGTCACGATCTCGCGGTCCGTGAGTTCGAGCCCCGCGTCGGGCTCTGGGCTGATGGCTCAGAGCCTGGAGCCTGTTTCCGATTCTGTGTCTCCCTCTCTCTCTGCCCCTCGCCCGTTCATGCTCTGTCTCTCTCTGTCCCAAAAATAAATAAACGTTGAAAAAAAAATTAAAAAAAAAAAAACCTTAGCTTTTATTTGCATCACAAAATATTGTTTGCTAATTGTTTTGTCTATTATTCTTCACCCCATCCTGCCTTTTTGCAGGCAGGAAATGTAGTTTTCCAAAAGAAAAATAGAGTCATCAAAAGCACAAACTCTGGAAGCCAATTAGTTTGAGTTTTCCTTCAACATTTTCCATCTGGGTAACTTTGAGCTGCTGGGTGTTGGTCCCTTCAACTGTAAAATGTGGTCAAATAGTATGTAGCTCATTAAGTTGTGTGCGATCATGCATACACACAGTTCATGGCACATGGTGACCTTTCAATAAATGCTACCTATAACTATTCTTATTGGAAGATGAGGGGAGAGGGTTCCATGTCCTACTTGTTATGACAACTGTCCAGTTCTGTCTGTCCTTTGACCCAGGGAGAAGCTAACCTAAGATGGGGTGTCCAAGGCTGTCCCTGGTTGGGGTGTAGGACTGCTTCTTTCTTGAGGTTGTAAGAGCCTTGTCTATCCCGAAACTAGTTCAACATCTAAAGCTCTGTATTGATTTCTGTGTGCAAGCCCTGGAGCGGATCACATCCTGTGTCCTGCAGTATTTTGAATTGTTTGTAAATGAACATTTTCTTGTGTGAAGAATATGTACAGCAGAGTATATATATAACCTTTAATTGTATGTCCTACTTTAACATTTAGCCTTTCATGAACTCTCTCCCTGTCCTTGACCACCTTAGGCACCCAACATACTCACCCTGACCTTGGCTAAAGAACACTTTGCACCTGTCTGGGACAGAGCACAGCTTCACCAATCCCATTTCCTTTCCTCTGGGCACACAGCTAAATTGCATGCCTATGCTGTTTGATGGGTACCATCTGACTGAGTCCGACCAGTGGAATATGGGTGGAATTTTAGTAAGCCACATCCAGGCTTGGTCCCTGAAAGTAAAACCATTAACATGATCTCCCATACACCGTGTTATGCCATTGGGTTGTATGTAGAGGATCCATGGGAGAATCTGAGGCTTTAAAAGATGGCAGAGCCCCTGGATGGAAGGAGGCAGGGGTTCCTGAATGACTACGGTCAGCAGGAGACTTCCCCTCTAAAATGATCTGTATCGAAGTGCGATGTGAGGGAGAAACCAATCTTACGGAGTTAAAGCCACCAAAATGTTTTCTATTTGTTACATCAGGAACCTATCCTGATAGGTATACCCTTCTTTATTTTAGAAATATCTCTGAACAGCAAATCGTCTATTCCCCTTTCCTTTCCCCGTAGTGTCTGTTCTCACTCTGAAGATCCACTTTCCATTGATGGAAATCCTAGTGTCTCAGCATGTTCACATCACCCAGGATTTAAGGAAATCAACAATGGATGCATCAGTCCCCTCTGGGTACTATCCCATGTCTCCCACTTATTTTTTTTCTCTAGATTCACCTCCGTGTGCCTATCTTACCTGCCTTCTACTTTTTTTCTAGACCACACAAATGGCAGGGTCAACCCCTTGCAGCTAAGACTAAAGAGAATCCTGCTTCCCCTTAACCCCTCTGCATGTGCTCATGCTCTAACTTCCCGTTTCTTCCTAGGTGCCCTCTTCTAAGTTGTGATTCCACACTGTCACATTTTCCCAGTTCCTTCCTATGTTTTTAGT